TTAAAAAATCTTCTTGCTTCAGATGTTATGCATTTCTCCAGCATCAATTTTGGATCCAGAAGGAACCCCCAAACATGAATCTGTTCCTTAAGGAAGAATCACTCCATTCAAATAGGCAGAACACCCTAATACTGAAGTCAAATCTCTGGAATCAGTAATAGCTTCTTTTTCTCTAAATTCAGTTTCAGCTTGTTCTCTTATGTTCTGGAATCATATGGTTCTTCCTCTCTCTCAACTTTCCATCCAAGAACTTGGTTTTTACTCTTTTTCTTTTCCTTCCTAATCCATTTCCCTTTATGTCTTATATCTTGAAGATTCTAACTTAAAAGCCAGTAGTGGTGTATATTTATTCTGTATGATACTTAGTATATTTTAGAAATTCAGGAAATTATTGAACACCTTCATTCAATAGGTTCCCTACTGAAGTCACATATGTACGCCCAGCTCAAGGATTAGAAACCTGTTGCAACATAAACCACAAAAATAAATAGATTTGCATCCATGGTGTGAATTGGCAGTATATTCAACATCTTCAGTGTTGCCAAACTTAGCCAAAATCTCATTTAGGTCTTCTTAATAAAAGCATGCAAAATAAACAAAACTGACAAATAACAGAATACTACCTGAATACTTCAGGTGGTTTAGAAAACCACCTGAACTTAAATAACTGAATATATAAATACATTTAAATTTAAAACTTCATACTTTCTACCCCCAAAATAAGTAGGCTCTTCTTCCTTTTGTCTATATCAATACTTTATTTCTTTTAGTCATAAATGCAAAGGGAGTTTGTTTGTGAAACTACAATATACTAGATACTCTATAAGAACAAAACAACCTATTATTTACTCTAGAAGAAGAATAATGTGCTTGTTAAAAATGGTTAAATCCTAGCAGAATCCCCTTAGCTCTTAAATAAATTTTCAAGTTCAGATATCCACAGATTTTTGACTTAATACGTAGTTTAACAGTATGCAAAATAAATCTCCCAAAATTGATTTTAGTCCAAAATGTGCAGGTAAGCTAACTAACAAGCCTTTTACCCTATTAGAGTGAACAGATTTAAAACTAAAACATATGCCCAAAAGCAAAAGATTTCTGTCTGTCTGCCTGCCCGCCTACACCTCCACTTACGCACAAAATACTGCACTATGCAGCTCCCCTATCCTAAAGCTTTGAATTCCAGTTGAAATAAACCTTATACATCACCCAACTTCACAAATGTTTGCATGTGGCTCATATTTAAGTGTGTATATCTTATCTACCATAAACCACAGTCCAAAAAAGGCAGGGGCAGGACCAACTCCATCCACCCAAGAAACAGAAGTAAAAAAAGGTTAATTCAATTAACAATTACTATTATCTGTAAAATAAAGAGCTTAATTTATAAAGTTAATTGATCTCCTATCTGTATATACCAACCATTCTGTATCTCATAGATAAACCACTCTCAAATACAAAACCTCACAAATACTCCTGAGTGTGTGTGTGTGTGTGTATGCGTGTGTGTATGCATACACACACACCTTCTCCCACCAGAAGAGAGCAAAAGAGTAGGAAAAATAGGAAGGTGATAGGGAAAGGGAGCTACATTGTAAGACGTGTGAAAGACAATGGGAAAAACAAGGGGGAAATGAATAAAAGAGAAAGAACTCCTGTTTAGGTGTTTGAAAAAGGGTTAAAGACAAACACTGTTTAAATAAGAACTAATCTTTAAAGGGATTACCCTTTGCAACAATAACATCTGCAATCCTTTACAGAACTGCTCAGTCTTTGTTCTAGTATTTAGTATTTTTATTTGGTATGTGCTTATATCTAAGTGCAAGATCTATTTTTACCCCAAAGAATAATCCTCTTGGATGACAGACAGGGACTGGCCCAACCCCACCAGGGAGCTTTCATGGCTGACTGGGAACTTGAACCTGGATCCAACACCTTTACCACACTGGCTGTCAGCGTCTATGCATCTTCTGTTCTTCTCAGCAATTTAAGATCCCCTGCCACATACAGAGGTTATTTTGGGGAAAAATAATTTCATATTTCTATCTGATGAATATTGTTATATATGTCTATAAAGATGGCCTATTTCTGCAGGAACTCTTTCTCTAACTGGTTCAGGATATTATTCAGCAGAAAAGCAAAGGTATTTGCAAAAACAGGGCAAGGTTTATGAATAGTAATAGATGAGAAAAAAAAATCTAATACACTTTGATTACTGCACAGATTTTCGGTAAAAGCATATTCTGCTGCTGGGATTCCTTTGTCATTGATAATTGCCTCCCTTTAGAAGCCACTCAAATGGGAAAAATAAATTAAAATGTTCCACCTACTCTGGTGATTTATTTCTTCTACCTGCTCTTCGATCTACAGGAAGGAAGGCAGGAAGAAAGGACGGCAAGCAAGAGGAAGGAAATACTGCAGTATTTCTCTGTAAAGAGAAGAGAACTATAACATAAAAGAGTGTCACTATATCTTCTACTGATAAAAAAACCCAGCAGCTTCTGGGGGAAAACTATATCTAAAACCTCATAAAACAATATAAAGTAGGAAATAAACTATAATTTCAATAATTAAACATATTAAAATGAATAAAATAGGAACAAATTAAAGTGTCTCAGCTCACTTGTGAAGTGCAGCCATCGGCTTGCCACAAGAAAACCAAACAGAGTCCTGAAATTACATCTGGAGAACGTTAGATAGTATGCCTATAAACCATATCTCCTTTGAGAAAGTATTTCTCAATCACATTTTACTCACTGTCCAAGTTCAGATATCCTATTATGGCTTGATAGGTTTGTTGAACAAATAATAGTGGCTTACTAGACAACCTATGACCCGTTGGGTCATTGTTTCAGAGATATTTCCTTACCTACACAGAGAAACAGAATGACCAAAGGCAAAAAAGCAGCGGGAGTGGAAACAACTTACGACTTGCTGCTGGCTTCCCCATTGACTTTGTTTGTGGGAAGCTGGCAGGGAACGTCAGAAACCAACCTTCCTTCCCTCCTTCCCTCCTCCTCCCTTCCTTCTTCCCTCCCTCCCTCCCTCTTCCTTCCCTCCCCCTCCCCCTCCCCCCTTCCTTTTCCTTACTCTTTCCTTCCTTCTCTCCCCCTTCCTTCCTCCCTTCCTTCCCTCCCTTCCTTTCCACATATAATATAGGCTTGTGCTGTTTGCCCTCCCTCATGACCCTCAGGAGAACCCTGGTGAAGCCTCCTCTTCCTCAGCTGACCTGTGGAACCGCCTGCCACTTTGCTGGAAGGAGGTAGAACAAAGGTAGTTGCAGACCATGAGGAAAACTGCCCCCCTACCCACCATTCCAGCATGTCCCCAAAGGCCCCCTCCCTCAAGCGAGGAAGAGGGCCCATCTGTCACCCACTGGCACCCCTCAGCTAGCCATCCCTCACCAGCAGGCATCCAAATCACTCCCTTGTCCTTCCCTCAATGCCCACGGCCATTAAGAGATTTCACATTTCCACCTCATTTCCAAAGCAGCCAATTGTTGCTTGCCCATTGGGCCTTCCTACCAGCCGAATGGGCCCGGGGACAGTGGGAGGTGGGATAGAGGTTGAGGGCATGCCCATGATGATTCCGTGACCTGGGCAGACCGTGGTAGCACAGCAGTGCAGCAGGGTTGAAGCAGCCACAAATTTCCCAAATTTCAATCCCATGGGAGTAATGGCACCCAGATTTTGGATGCATTATGTAATTTAGCCCATTTGGAGTACCTTGGTACAAAAATTGTTGCCCTATGGCGCACCATTTTGCCCAGCTGAAGGTTAAAGACACGAGAGTTTTAGTAGTCTATAGATTTTTCAACTACAGTGGCCAGGATTACATTAAGCCCAAACTAACAAACTACAATATGTCTTAAAGCAATGTGTGAAGCAGGCTACTGTATGAGTCTCCACGATTTATCCCATTAATTATTGACAAAAATCTTACGTTATATGTTTACTGATAAAGAGTTTGCCTACCCAAATATAAAAATCATTTCCCCTTTTACTGTCTCATACTACAGTTACAGAACAGCTAAGGTACTAAGATGGTTATTTAGACCAGGTATTTCTCAATTTTATAAAACCTTAATTTGCCTTCATTCCTGGATTTACCCTAGCCATTCTTATAGAGATATATTTGATATAATCACATAGGAAACATATCTTAGAAAACTGTACAGTAAATAGAAGTTGAAAAGTTAGTAAGTTTCTTAAAATGAAATAACTAGATATTTATGAAAGCATTAAAATTTTGTTAAATAAGAATAGTTGTATTTTTTATCATCTAAGTTTATGGGGCTATGAAGACATACTCAGCGAATTAGTATGTCTGATTGATCAAACATTTTAAGTTAGTATATCAACTGAATAAAAATAATGGCATGAATCAATTAATAAGATACACTTTCCCAAAGAGACATACTATTGCAAAAGGTAATATTCAAGAAGATCCTGCATTTTAAAATTCAGATCTTACCTATACATAATTCTTACTTCAGTGTATTAATCACTTAATGTTAAGTCCTGTCTTTTGCAGAGAGGAATATATTACAAAGGTAGGAATTCATAGGTTTTCTACCACAAGTTTCATATGCAAGGTTTGGGATTTTTTAATTCAAGTCTTAAGTTGCTCATTTATAAAAAGAAGCACAACAGGATTTAATTGAGAAATTAATTCATAGGTTTTCTACCACAAGTTTCATATGCAAGGTTTGGGATCACTTAATGTTAAGTCCTGTCTTTTGCAGAGAGGAATATATTACAAAGGTAGGAATTCATAGGTTTTCTACCACAAGTTTCATATGCAAGGTTTGGGATTTTTTAATTCAAGTCTTAAGTTGCTCATTTATAAAAAGAAGCACAACAGGATTTAATTGAGAAATTAGATAATTGTTTTCAAGATTCATTATACAAATTCTTTCAGAAATATCACTTCCTTTTCAGACTTTCTAAAATAAAAAGACTTTTTAGAAATATTAACATAAATTGAACATTTTGTCTTACCAAGACTGAATTCAAACTTTGGTTCACTAACAGTCTTCTTGAGACCTATTGGTGAAAGCATATATACTGTTACATTACAATGCTATATTATATTATTATAAAATTATTCATACATGAGAATATATATTTAGTATTACATTAGTTATAACATTAAGGAAAGGATTCAGTAAGGATTCATTCACCAGTAATGTAAACTATCAAACAAGAGCCTGCACTTCCCCATCTTTTTTTTTTTAAATCCATCACTATTTTACTAACTAGGAGTATTTATACCCAACAAACACATTGTATCACCATACTAATCAGATTACATGCTCAATACTTCCCTATAATCATGAAAACCAAAATTTACATTCACTTTAACAGGTTCACATTACTATATATTGAACTCTATAAAGATGGTAATTTAAAAAGCTGTATATGCCAAGGCAAATAAAGTAAGGTTACAACTTAAATTATACAGAATTTTAAAAATGAAATTAGATTCTCTAAATTCTCACAAATTCAAATAAATTGATTTCTTAGTCTGTGGAAGACTACTGTCAAAACCACTATGTTCAATTTAGGACATCAAGACTTCTGCTAATTCATTTGGAACAGCAAATACAGCCATTACTACATCATTAGCTGTTGTGAAGCTTTTTGAAGCAGTGTGCTAAATTGTAATGGAGCTACGATGAGCACACTGAGCTAAACTTTTTAAAGTTATATGTCTAAAGATTCAAAAGCACAATCAACATGGTTCAGCAGGCTGGGATACTAGATTTGGATCTGACAAATCTATCTCCCAACCCTGTTGCCAATTTGTAAACTGGGAATTTTATACTGTATTTTTCTCCATGACATGTTATAAAAGTGAGTAAAATGTTTTTAAAACTCTATAGAAATTAAGATAACTTCATCTAAACCTGGGCACTTAGAATAATTTTTCTAACAGCATTCACAGGATTATGATACAAGGGATAGCATACTTACCTGTGAGTTTAAATTCTGCAAGACTATCTGGTTGTGCAGATGGAAGAAATTGCTGTATTTCCTCTGGTGTTCTCTCTTCTTTGATATCCATGATCAGTCTCTGAAGCTGACAGTTTTTAATTCACAGGTCTTCAGAACTTGCCTGAGTGCCACGGCCCAAAATTCACAGGCAGTCCTTGATGCAGCTTTAAGATAAAGATCTGGTTCTCCAGCCTGAAATTCTGTGTTGACAAAGTTTAATTAAGCCAGACATTAACATATGTCTTTCTGAAAATTATCAACATGATGTTTGCAGCAACAAACAATGTTGTGCAGCTTTCCTACATGCCACCATAACATAAATAATCAAGCTGATGTTTCATTACCAGTCCTAGAGCAGTTAAGACATCAGTAACTAGATGGCAGCATGAAACCTCTATTTGGTGCATATTGTCAGGCCTCTCTTGGCAAGACAAAGGACTGCAAAAATGTATTTCCCAGGAGAGAAAGGCTCAGATGAGTAAATTTACTGTTGCAAAACAATAAAGTCGTTACAAAACAATTCCAGCAACTGCAGTGGATCAAATGCAAGCTCAATTTATAACAATCAGTGTTCAAATTTTTTCTGCTCTTTCTCCTGCCCACTTTACATAAAGGGCTAGAAGGAAATAGCTTAGGGTAGGAAATACAATTTCTATCTATCCCTCCTTCTCCTTCTTTTTGGTAACAGTATGATCTTGTTACAAGTTGTATACTTTTGACCATATAAAAACAAAGTTTCACACATATTTGGAATTTCGGCAGGAGGTTTTTCCATGCTACTAACTTTAAAAAATTATTTTGCAGCCTGAACAGGCAGTTAATCAAATGGATTTGTGAGATTCATTTGAGAAACAAGTATTCATTATTTTTTTTTATTAAAACTATACATTTCACTTCCTATATATTCTTGTCAGAATCCTGCTAACCCTAACCTTGTCTATGATAATCAAAGCCACGCTGGCCAGGCATTATAAAAATTGAAGCTTACGCTGGTGCAGTCCCTCCCTTCCTTCCCTGACAACTTTTCCCAGTACAAGCCCCTATGTTTTTAAGATAATCTGGAGCAGTACTTTTCTTAAAACAAACAAATCTCTTGTCTTCAGAGATATGAGGAATTCCATTGTAGAACTGGAGGAATCAGTGCTTCCCCTCACCACTATTACCACCATCTGGTTGTGGCAAATTAAAAGGAATTACAAAGCCTTCCAGAAGGATTTAAATTACTTGGGCTTACGTGCTAAGGTGCCTCCCATTCTCTTGGTGCTCTCTTTTTCTCTCTGATTTTCACTGAGTAGGTTACCATAGGTTAACACAAGCAACCAAGGCTGAAGCTAAGTATTTACTAACAATCTCTTCTTTCTTGCCAATCTTCCCTACCTAGTGAGGATTGCATTTCCTCCTGACCTTGTGGATGCCGTCATGAGAGGTTCAGAGGTTTCCCACCCTTCCATGTGCTATTGACACCTTGACCAAGCCAGCCAGTGGCCACCCACCATTCAGCATATAATGCCCAAAACAATATTAACTCTGAGCTGTCAAACAAACAAATAAACAAACAAACAAACAAACCATAAAATATCAGAGAAATGATTGGTGGCTATTTTCCTGCCTGTAGATAAGACTGATCAAGAGAAGGACAGTATGGATTCTGCCAATGGGTGCCTTGAAACTACCTTGCATTACAGTGGACAGGCAGCCAAGCTGTGGTGAAGAGAGACTATGGAGGTAGGATTTTTCACACCATCATACTTTATCCCAGCTCAAAGATGAGAGGAAAGTATATTACCACCAACATGAGGAAAAGCCCTTACTGCACACAAGTGACTTAAATGGTATTTTCCCACTATATACTGGAACTGTGATGACAGAAAACTGCCAGAGGCAAAAAAACACAACAAGATGGGAATATGGAAGGGATGGATCTAGCACCTATTCCCATACAACACATTTCTTTTCATGTCAAACATAAAGCTGTCTTTAAATAATTTTGCAAGATTTCTGTCCCTTGACACCAGGATACAGCATCCGGTAAAAAGCTACAGAGATAACGTTGATTTCTAGTGGCTCCTATTGAGGTCTATAAGACATAGCAAATAAGTTGCCATATGGAGACCAATGCCTTTAAATAAAGCAGTTAAGCAACCCTTCTCAAGCAAATGTTTATTCTAACTTACATTATATACAGAAACCTTTGAGTTCTAACCCTATCTCCATTTTCCTTTATTGTAAAACATATTACTACGCCAACTAAACACTGACCTTTTTAAAATAAATTCTCAACTTAAAGAAGCAAAGGGATCTTACTGTATAATTAACATATCAAAAAACTGCCAAGTATATGCTGAATAATTCAGACTTCATGGAGTAAAGCTTTAGACTCCATATCTCATGTGAAATCAGAATATAAACTTTTAAAAGTCTGAGTGTTACTTTTTAAATATTATTTCTTGGAATTTCACCAAGATTTTTTTTCCACTGCAAGCCCAGAGTTGAACACAGAAAGTTCTTTTATTCTTTTCACAATATAACTAATAAAGCAATTGCCAGAGCTGTTTACACTGCCAATAGGAGGCCAATAGAGAAGGCAAAACATACAAATTAAATCAAATGTTCAAACACTATTTGTTGCAAAACATCAGCTGCAATACCATTTCATGGTGTCTATCAAGTTTCTGAGATATAGTTGACTAAATGAAAACCACCCACAATTGGTGCATGAGATAATATCATCAGCTGAGCTATGTTACTGCCAGGGCATACTGGCACTGCAGGGGAAAGGAAGCTAAACAGTCAGATTTGTAATAAGTTATGAAAAAGCACAGCTTTCTCATTTTTTCCTTATTTTTATAGCAACAGAAACAAATGCATAATCTGATATCTTATGTACCAATGATTACTGATAGCTTATGTATCAATTAAGTAATTAAAAATGGCAAACCAATATTCAAACCATAAAGAACAAATAATTTTATAATACATATCCTAAATATATTTGCCAGTGTAAGCTATAATGTCAGTATCATATCTACCTTTAAATATACTGGTTATCTAACTGTTAGAGAAATCACTAATTTGCTTTGCTGAAAAAGTATATGCAACTAGAAAATTCCTAAGTGTGCACAAGGATTAAAAAATATTGTAAGTCCTGTCCCCAATTTACAATCTAACAAGCTATATAAAGGAACAAGGAAAAAGAAAAGAGAAAAGAGAGAAGGATCAACAAGGTCAGAGAAGTGTATTTTAATGAAAAACATGTAATACAAAGGAAATGTAGTTTCAATACAAGAGAATATATGTAGCTCAGGGTTGAACTGTGTAGTAGTCCTTGGTGCTCTCTGAGCTTGGTTGCTTGATTGCAGATGTTTCATTACCTGCCTAGGTAACAATCATCAGTGCTAGTGAGTATGGTGTTTGCTCCCTGTTTATATACAGCAGCTACTGTATATAAACAGGAGCAAACTCCACACTCACTAGCACTGATGATGTTACCTAGTCAGGTAATGAAATGTCTGCAAGCAAACAACCAAGCTCAGAGAGCACCAAGGACTCCGTAGAAATGTAGTTTAATGATGAAAAGCTGAGGAAGTGAACCAAATGTCTGATGAAAGGGTATTTCAAGTTATTTTCAAATTGCATACATTTTTGTGTTTCCTAATGACTTTGTATACTAGTGCTGAGTTTGGAAGTCTACAGATTTACAGCTCATAATGATAGGTTGAATATTGTTAGGAATGAAACTAGAGTAGCCACCAGCTCTCACAAATTACATCATCAACAAAACATAACTGTCTTCTACAGTCTTGAACAGAATAGCCTAGTATCTGTTAACTCAGAAACAAAGGAGAAAGAAACCTAGAATTTATATTCTGAAACTGTGATGGAAGACATGAGCGAGGAGATCCAAGGTCATAGGGAGGGGGAGAGGAATCCCAAGCATCTCCTCAGCCCTTAACTAGAGTGGGTGAAAGTGAAGAGAAGGAGACTGGCACCACCCTAAGGAATTC